CGTTTGGGGTTGAATTTTTTTTTCGGAGAACGGACGACGGTGCGCGCGCAGGATGTCATCCATAAAAATAAAAAAGTGTGGCCTAGTAACAAAACTGTGTCATTTTAACACTTGAGAACTTCAGTAAATGATGTATCAACAGTCTGTGCAAGACTTCAATTCAAAGCCTTGTCAAGTGTTGATGTAATTGAACTTCATAATTTGTACGTTTTTGGACACCTACTATACGATGTCTTACAGCACAATGTGAATAACACTACAAGGTTAATAAATATATAAAATGCAAAGGAAAAAGAAAGGTTAAGCAAATATAACTTTTACGGATTGACTCAAATTATACCAAAAGCAAACAGGCTGGCACTGATAAACAACGGAAAATATACAGTTAATGCACTATACCCTCATGTAGAACCCTGTGGAACCTCCGGCACCTACTTCCTAGAGCTGTAAACATTTAAATGTATATTAGTTTAAAGGTGAATTCATTTTTTCCCAATGTTTTATTGGTTGTACAAATATACGTGGTGAAGTAAGTTGGGATAAGTCCCCCCCAATCGGCTCCTATACCACATTACTTCACTTGAAAAGCGTATTGCGTCCCGTCCAGACTGTTAAACGCGTTCTCCACCTGTCTTCTGGTCACCGTGACCCAGCGTCCTGCCATCAGGAAGTCATCGATTACCTCATCCCAGCTTTTGCCTCCATATTCACTGCCATGTAGGTATTTCCCAATAGTGTCCATCACCACGTAACCACCTGAAAGAATAAAACAAACTTTAACAACCAGTTTTCATTGTCCCTTTTAATCTTTTTCCATTTCACTTTTTAGGAGATTGATTTTTTTTAATGTTGTCATTAGGAAAACACGGATTCAATTTAAAATGTGTTGTTACTCAAGGTTTTTTTTCTTGGACGATATGATAAAAATTAAATAGAGGGGTCATGCAAAATGTTTTAAATTGCCTATGAGAACTGCCAATCGATAGTGGTAAAATGGTGACCTACCTGGTTTAACAATACGAATGAATTCTCCCAAGCAGCTTCCATCTATATGAGCATTACCTACCGCTCCTGTCATCATGACCGCATCGTACGTGTCTAGTAATAAATAAATTAATTAATTAATAAATTAATTAATAAAAATAAATAAATGAAGAAGAATTATCCATAACCAAACTCCACGTGTCCAGCGTTGTGTGCGATATAAATTTAAGATAAGAGCTTAAATTCTAAAATATATAATCTGAAACTGCCAATTTAACTCTTTAAAATTCAGAACTTAAACATTCCAAGCAAAACCGCCAGTTACTGGGACATTAACATTTAGCGGTAAGGAAGCTTTTTCATAAACTTTTCAATCAAACCAAGGGTGGTGAAACGCCCTGGACAGTTCAATAGTGGTTCCATCTTATGACAAATAAAATATTTTCTCGAGTAACTCTGATAACGCTTTTAATACTTACTCTAAAGCAAACAATTTAGCCAATTTTAGCCGATTTGGCAAGTATTTTAGACTAAGCACCCCAGCTAGATAATGGAAAGGATATATATCATTGTGTATGTACACGTACAAAGTACTTACCATCAGGGATATCCAGACCCTCAGGACCAAGCCTCATGCACATAACCTTTTTATAGATGTTCTTCTGCTTGGCCTTTTCAAGCATTTTACTACACATGTCGAAGGCATGGAGGTTGTGGAAACCACGCTTTGTCAGCTAGAATATACAACATGTAAATATTTAACTCATTTCCCCTGCCCAAACTGTGTGGAATACTTTGGTTAAAACGTGAGTCAAATGGTATTTATCATCCCTGCCCAGGATAGAAGAATATGCAGACAATTAAACAAAGTGTACCGACGCGGTTGATTTTTGCTGGCGGTTAACGTGGAGCCAGTATTAACGTGAGTACTAATAGATGATAACTGGTATACCATGATGATACCAGGTGTGCTTAAATATAAAGATATGTTAAGATGTAACTAACTCAGCGACATACTAATCACCTCTATACCCCCTAAACCGGTTCCGCAGGCGGCCTCCAAAATAAGCGCATCTTTGTTGTTCTTTAAGCATTTTTCTAATTCGGCTGCACAGACACTTGGTTGAGTGTAATTTAGAGTTACCATATCCTAAAAGATTTGAACACATTTATCCAAAAATAATGACAGTATCATAACATATCTCATTCATACCAAATAGTTAAATTGATAAAGATATTTTCATGTTGTGCATACGTACCACAAGCTCAGAATAACACTTTTTTCTGGCAAACGCAGTGATTCATGTATCTGTTAAGTGGATTATCTGTGGTTGGATTGAGTCACATATAGTTTTATTTCTTTCTATTAAATGGTTCATCTAAAGAAACAAGAAATAAAAGGGGATGTCGGAAAAGGCATTATTGATCCAGTTGCAAAAACTGATACATTTACGTCGATGAGTGAGCAAAGTAGTACTAAAACCACCTTTTACCTTATCATATTCTTCTGCCCATTTTGCGTAAACTTTTTCCACTCCTTCGCTGTCGATACCTGGTTTCTCAAGCTCATCCAAAATTGGTAGATACTGCTCCACTTGCTTGGCCATATTTTTCTCCGTGTGTTTAAGTTTGTTGCATCATGCTCATTATGAAGTCTGCATTATGTATTGTATAAATGTAGGACAATACCTGTGCATTCAACTCACGTGCATACCAGTAGCTGTTTGCACCTTTGTGTGTATAACTCCAGTTCACTTAACATTACTTTAAATAAAAACTACATTAAATGTAACGAGTGTATGCAAGTTTTAGCACGAAAACACCTTGTATTCAACCTTTATTATTTTGTCACAAACACACCTATATTATTATTATCATTTCCTTCATACCCACCTCACTAAAGCAACAAACGTCTACAAACCTGAGTTTTATTAGACCCACTCAGGTCGAAGTGACTTTATTTAAGAAAAATATACATCTCCACAGCATATGAATGTGATCGTGGTGGTGGTGGTGGTGGTGGTGGTGGGGGGGGGGGGGGCAGTACGTGTTTAAACTTTGGAGTGTATTGTGGTAGATGATGCTGAACTTCTCGGTAAGTTCAAATGAATGTGTTTTGAAAATATATATTAAAGAATATTAACGCATTTTAAGTGCATGAATTGTTTCTTGCAGAACGCATCTGATGATAATTATTACTTTAAAAACATATACTGTCAGATGAATGGCCTTAATCGATATTATAAAAAAGAATCATAATTACCATTCCCTGTTCAACTTCTGTTGAAATAACACGGATCACGGCAGTCTCGACATATCCGGAGTTAGTGGAATGAATAGGGTTTCCAGAATACTGGCGTTTGATCGTTTGTGTTTTCCAAATAAATGAGTTAGGGCGAGTGGCAGAAAAGAAAGATAAAAAGATGGTTAGTCAGGGAAGGGGGACTTAGCACTGGGGAAATTTGTTAGATATAATTTTTGTGCGGAAAGCTTAGAAGGCTTAATCTTTTTAAGTTTGATTTCGAAATGTTTTCAATATTTCTTCCACCATAAAGTCAATCCTTGAGACCAAAACGTGTGTAATAGATTGTTATACTGTACAAATGTAGGAGAAATTAGTAGCACCTCCATCCTGCAAAACACAAATCTTTTAGTTGAATAATAATTATGGAGAGATAATTTTATATTTATTGATTTTTTTTACCGAATTCGTAGTCTAAAATCTACCCAATGAACATCTACATAAACAGTCAAATAATTTATCGGTAAACCGACGGAAAAATGTAGTATAGTGTTTTAAGTAAACAAAGTCGCCACTCAAATGTCCGCTCACTCGGCTCAAGTTGCATTTGCCTAATGTTTTCGATAATGCAGAATAGAGCTACACTGTACTCACGGTGAACACAAACCATTCACTTTCATCGAGTAAAACAGATATTTGTGCAAGACGTGACCAATCTGTTGTATCATTCTGGTAACATTGAAAAATACCGTACTCGGATTAAGAATGTGTACATTTACCCCGTGGACCATTTGAAGATTACACTGCGATTAATGCGGTGGAAAATACAATAGAGAGAGTGTATAATGATAGGGTCGCTAAACGATTGTTGACGGCATATAGTAACTAGCCTAATCCCTTGGTCGCCTGGGTAGCCACGCCCCCTTAGAGTACTTATGTAAACAAACGGTCTCCCGTAGCGAACTATCCTTTTGTTCAACAGCTTCGCGCGTGCAGCTGATTATGTATGTAGTGACACTATAGCTAACTGCATATAAATTTGTGCTAGCTGTTATTTGATTCATTCTGCTGTGTCAGATGTTGTGGATCAGCCCACTGGTTCGTTGACTTCTGTTTTTCTGAAGATTGGTGGTGCAGATTTTGAGTGCTTAATTATGTACCCTCCTTCTAACAAGAGAAAGGGGAAGGGAGATAAAAAGAGAGAGTGTCAAATGAAACGGGTAATGAGTAATACATTACATTAAATAAAGGGACTCGCGGTGGAAGAAACGATAGACTGTTTTGCATCAAGGTATGCCATTATAATCCGACATGGCCCATAACATGATCCATAACATGACTCATTGTTGTATGCCTTATATTTGTGCCGACTAATATTTTACTCTCGTTCATTTCGTGAAACTATTTCCTTAAAATAAAGTTTTGCCTGTATAAATTAACTTTGTGACATGAAGTAATTAATAAAACGCGCCTGTTGAAAAGGGGGCTTTTCGTAACTAATAAAGGTTCAC